ATACCCACGCTACGCGTGGTTTTTTTTTTTAAAAATTACAGAAAAAATATGATTATGCTTTTTGTTGCGTTTTATGTTATTTTGTGTGTGTTATTATGTAATTAATAAAGTCATATCTATTTTCTATAGTTATAATTTTTATGATTATATTCATCTTTGACTCGAAATATTAGTTCCACGTCTTTTATGTATAAATCTGATTATTTATATACGTACGATCATAATCTTTCATTATCATGAATACATACAACAATAATATATAATATATTGATACAGTGGTATGTAATTATGTTACTTATGTGGTTTGAAACTTGCCTAAGTTAATTCTAAACAAACAATTCTTTGTTCCATTTACTTTCTCGTCATCTAGTACGCCAACCACATCATGATATGCTAGTACTTTAAGTCAACACTTTAGATCTCTCTCTTTACATACAACCATATAGGAGAGAGTCTCGTGTTTTTAATTTTTTGGTATGTCTAACGTCTCAAAGGACAATTAAGTGAAAAAAATTGTGTGTCAATGTTACCAACTTATCATAACGCACAAAAATAAAAACAGAGAATGTCATATTCACAAAACGTAACATGAATTCACAAAACGTAACATGAAGTTAGGTAGCAAATATATAAACTACAACACAAGTAATTTTTTAGCCATTATCGTATAGTGACCATCGATAAAAAAATTTAATAATATAAGAAAAGTAGAATGAAGGTAGTGTTTGATACATTAGTATGATCTTTTACTTTAGTTTTTAGTTTTTTAAAAAATCAATTAAGAGTGAGATTAGTGGAGAATTTAACACAACAAAAGACTTTTGATTAATTTTCAATTAATTTTGCTAATTTTTTATTTAAATAATTTAGAATGACACATGTCATTTTCTTATGTGATGATGTGGCACTCATATGGAGAGAGTTGGCCAACTTTTATATATATGATTCTATGTCAAACTGTAATTTAGTTCTCTACCACAGTTTTCAATAATATATACTGAATCAAGTATATAGAATTAACCTTTGATTAAACTACATGTGGGTGGGGGGAAGATTAGGCCTGCGCATAATACCCGAACCCGAAGAACCGAACCGAACCCGACCTGAAAAACCCGACCCGAACCCGAACCCGAAATTTTAAAATACCCGAACGGGTTCTAAACTTCACAACCCGAAAACCCGAACCCGAACCCGACCCGAACTCGAACCCGAACAAGTACCCGAACATATCCGAAATATAAATACATAGCTATAATATATTAGTAATATTTATACTTGTAATAGTCTAAGTGTCTAAATTATTCGGATGTTAAGATATTTTCGGGTGTTTTAGCTACTTTTGGTTAGATTAGGGTATAAAATACTTAAAATTTATAGATTTTCTGAGTATTTTCAATACTTTTTATAGAATCGGATACAAATTTTTAAATATTTGGATACTTCGGGTAAACCCGAATCCGAACCCGAAATACCCGACCCGAACCCGATCCGAACCCGAAGTTTTAAAATACCCGAACGGGTCTTAGTTTTCTAAACCCGAAAAACCCGAACCCGAAAAACCCGACCCGAACCCGACCCTAATATCCGAACGCCCAGGCCTAGGGAAGATATTGCTACTAGCTCTTTTCAAGATTTTTTTTTTCCGAATCGAATATGGGATCGATCCTTTTAGCGACCATTCAAGATCTTCAACCAGCCATTACATACATAGGCCCGGCTCGTTAATATGATGGACCCTGTGCATTTTCTAAAATAGTCCTAATTTATTTTATAAAAGACCCTAAATTTTTGTAATTTTTGAAAAATGGGCCCTAATATATGACAAAAATTGGGCTAAAATTTTGTAACCGGGCCTGAAACACATACGAGATGAATATACAATAACTCTAACCAAGGATGTCATTGAGACATTTACCCGAAAAGGATAATGTTAGGGACAATCAGTATTCTTTACTTAATTACAATATGTATGATAAGATTCCGAAAATTAAGCATAGAAAGAACCAAAGAATTACATGCATCAGAATTTGGTCATCTAACCAAGTAACAACTAGCTAAGCCGTACTTCATTATCACAACGAGAGTTACAATTTTGGAGACAAAGCATGATACAAAGATAATGGTAAAACAAAGCATATATTTTTTTGATAAACTCTATCATATATTTTTTTGATAAACTCTATCGGCTGATCCAGTCAACCCTGGTAGAAACGCACCAAAATGCTTCAGAGTGGACTTCTACCCGAAGGGCCACCACACTGTCTGTTCCGAGTTTGGAATGCTTTCCGACTAATGTCAGGGGTAGCTAGATCGCCTGTTACTGGACTATCAGGTAAACTGCTTGAACCTTTTGCCCAAGCCCAGACTTCCCAAATAGATGTGTTTTTTTGTTTCCAGTGTGAATCGAACATGGGTTAGTTCTTTCAAACCTTTCCCCAATTCTCAACTGTCACTGGACCACAACTGTGTGGATGCATGCCTACTCCTTATAATCAACTGTTTGCATCAGATCATATCAAATTTGCATTTATTGGTTCCAAACCCATAGTCGCTAGTTTTCTCTTCTTTATAATCCCTCTCAAAAACTCAGATTTTTTCAGCTTGATGTTGCATTTATTGTAAAACCGTCTTTTTTTGTGAATAAATTTTACATTCATACAAAAAAAAAAAAAAAAAAAATTTGATGACAATAACGCTAATAAAGAAAGCTATTGCTAATTATATATGCAATAAATAGAGTTTTAACTGAAAATGTCGTTGAAGCGAAGGTTGACATGGCTTTGTTTGTTAAACATCTGGAAAATTTTCACAGCTCTAACATAATGACGACACATTTTTACCAATGATTTTTGACATTCACTTAAGGACGACCGAGTGACCTTAATCAGAAACTTTTTCAGATTTCAGATTAGAAACATTTGATGGGAAAGTTAAATGAGACAAATATTTGTCTCATATCCCTAAGACCAAGGGCAGTGGGGCATTTGTTTGGGGGGGTGTAAGTATTAAAAAAAAACTGATTTAATGCAAAAGTTGTCTAAAAAAGAGAAAAGAGAGAGAGAAAGAAGAGAGAAAGAGAGAGAGTGAGTGTTACACCCGAGTGTAAACTTACACCCGGGTGTGAAGAGAGAGACAATTTTTTGCTTTTTTTATTACCACTTACACCCGTGAAGATGCTCCACTGCCCATGCCCTAATATGGAGAAACCAAAAGCAGAGGCGGAGCTATATGAAGGGCAAGGAGGTCAACTAACCCCCATAACTTTTATAAATTATTTGGCTTAAATATGTAATACGACCCCTATGTGCCTAGTTCATATTCTTCATTTCCACCCCCTAATTAATTTTTGACTAATTTTTTATTGCTGCAATACTTAACTCTTGATCCTATTTTATATAGGTTTTAGGTTTTATATAGGTTTTCATCTTTTCATCATTTCCTCTTTACTTAAATACTAATTTTCTTCTTCTCTTTTTCTATTTGTAAAAATTAAATTCTTAAAATTACTTTAAATTTTATTTTAGTTTAACAAATAATATTATTGTAATATATGACCTCCATCAGATATATTTCTGGCTCCGCCACTGACCAAAAGGAATGACATAACACAAAACTAACTAGGCTGATAAATTTTTGCAGAGTGATTAGAGTGAGCTACAAGATTATCTTAAAACTTTGTTTGCTTAAGACTAAAAAAAGTTATGTCAAAGTTATTTTTAGAGATCCAAATTTACCTCGGAAACAAAACAAAACCTTTTAATGGCACAAGAAATATTTCACAAGAAAAAAATATATTTCGGAGCCTGTTACAAACAGAAATGGACAAATGGTGGTGAAACAAAACTGCTTTACATTTTCATTTTTTCTTTGGCTGGTCCTACTCAGGAAAAATCCTCTGCCGACATCAAATAATCATATACTAAAAAAAATAAAAACAAACCATAGCTTCTGTCTTCTGCCACTCTGTTTTTTATTCGATATTAATGTAACTATTAACTGATTGGATTTTGATCCATCTCTAAAGTCCACTACGAACTATATGATTTTTAGCTCAACAATTTACTTACACATTTTTTTTGTTGGTTTTTATTTATACTCACACATTTGATTATCGAACTAATATCTCTTTATAATTAAGTTTTTTTTTTTTTTTTTTTTTTTTGACATCTTTGGATCGACAAGGCCCGATCCATAGCCAATCCCTACTACGCGGGTTAACGCGACTTAGTGGAGTCAAACTCCGGTGGGGAAGGCGGAGTCAAATGGACTTAACCACTTGACTAAAGGCACATCCCCATAATTAAGTATTTATCATATGATATATTTATAAAATTAAACTTCAACGAATCCATACAACTTATTGCTTTTTATTTTCTGTCTCATTATTGGCCACATATAATAAATCTTGTTGAAACATATTCTTATAATTTAGTTGGATTGACAATCTCTTGACTTTATAATAAATATACCGACATACCTTATGTTTTAGATGTTGATTTTTCCCATCTAAATATTAGGAGATTCCACCATAATATATTTTACTAATCATTTCATATAAATATACTTTATTTTCCATTAGAAAAGGAAACAGAGTACAGAAAGTGTTTTACAAACATACATATAGTAGACCAGCTTAAGACATACGCTTAACGAACCCAAGAAAAAAAAAAATACAGCTGGCTCGTCCCATTGTTTCTTACGTCCACCAATTACATTTGTTAAAGCAAACTCATTACAACGTTCATGTGTGAGAAGATGGTGTCGACATGTGTCTAACGTCTACATCAGAAATCGGATTAGCTTTAGTAAACTATACTATATAAATGTTAGTAATCAAATAAAATATCTACTTCGTTACAAATAAAAATATTTTAATAATTGCCACGTGGCGTAAATGCATCGATCGAGTCACTTCTAATATCTTTATAATCAAAGTCTTCCAACACATTCATCACCATCTATCTACTCTTTGCTCTCTTCTCTTCTCACATCAATTATTCAAAGTTGTCTCTTCTTCCTCAGCGATCTCCGGCAAGAAAAGATGAATTTCAAGTCGTTTAGGAATGACCCTGGAACCCTTAAGACCTTGGTCGGATCCGATCTCAACGAGCTCACTATCGCTGCTAAGAACCTAGCTAGCCACGCTTTCACGCTCACTGGTTTAGGCTTTGGTACTTCTATCCTCGAATGGATTGCTTCTATCGCCGCCATGTAACCATTCTCTCTATCTTTTACCTCTCTCTCTTACTTCGTTTCTTGTGTTGATCTTGATGAGGTTTTGATGTAATAAATGTAGATACTTGTTGGTGTTGGATCGAACCAATTGGAAGACTAATATGCTCACTTCACTTCTCATTCCTTATATCTTCTTCAGTCTTCCTTCCTTGATCTTTGGTATCTTCAGGTATAAAACCCGACAGAACCAGTGAGACTCTTTCTCTACTTTATCATCATGTTCCTAAACCCTAACTTGTGTCTGAAAATATTAACAGAGGAGAAATTGGTAAATGGATTGCTTTCGTAGCTGTTGTTGTACAACTCTTCTTTCCTAAACACGCCAGAGGTTTGTCTACTTGTTTTCTTCACTCTCCATTACAAATAATAACAAGAGTTTGATTCTGATTTGGCTTATCTCTATTGTTCGTGTTATTAGAGTACTTGGAATTACCAGTGGCTTTGGTTCTGCTCGCTGTGGTGGCTCCGAATTTAATCGCCGGCACATTCAGAGACAGTTGGGTTGGTTTAGCGATATGCTTAGGTATTGGATGTTACCTGCTTCAAGAACACATTAGAGCTTCAGGTGGATTCAGAAATGCTTTCACTAAAGCCAATGGTATCTCCAACACCATCGGGATCATCTGTCTCGTCGTCTTCCCCGTCTGGGGTCTTATCTTTTAAGGCATCACTTCAGGACTCTTCAGTTACTTTTTCCATTTGTTTTTTTTTCTCCATGTAAGAGTGATTGCTTTGTATGATTCTGTCTCTCGTAACTATCAATGAATGTGACTTGAATAAGAATTGCTTCAGCAATAAGATATTGTCATGAGGTGTTAGTGTGGATTGAATCTCTCCTTTCAATATTATAGATTTAATGGATAATGTGTATCACTTCCTATGTAACAATTCGGTGAGATGGTACGAAGAAGTAGTATCGCCATCTCATCGTGTTTCTAACGATGTTCCTATCTCTTACCACTTTCTCGTACTACCACAAAACTCATACACATTGTGTCACCGATTGGTTTCTATGTGATTGTCATTTGAGCTTGATCAGCAACTTCTAGCTTTCTTCTTCTTCTGCTCTTTGCTTGAGTGATTCAGCCATTTCTATGGACAACAATGCTGATGTTTCCTCATCACCCACTGTTCCATACCCGTCGATAAATGCTCTGTACGTCTCTTGACTCGGTTTAAATCCTTTCCCAACCATCTCAGCCTGAATGTTCAATGCTCTATCCATCTTCCCTTCTTCGCACAATCTCTTTATCAACAACTCATAACACTTCCGACTAGGATAAAACTCGGACTCTCTCACCGCATCCTTCACGATATCCGCAGCTTCAACAACTCTATGTCCATTCCTATCATCACAAAGTCCTTCCACTAATGCTTCAATGGTTAAACCCTCTGCCTCAAAACCCTTCCTTCTCATCTCCCTATAAACAACCAAGGCCGAATCAACATCACCCACTTTACAACACCCCTTAACAAGATGCTCATAAGTCAGAGAAGTACACTCTATTCTCTCCAACCCCATTTCTCGAAAAAGCTCCTTCGCTTTCGCAACCTCCAAGTTACTACAAAGCCCACCAATCATAGTATTATAAGCCACAACATCATAAACCACTCCTCTCACCTTCATCTCATCCCAAATCTTCTCCGCTTCACTCATCAAACCTCGCGCACAATACGCCTCCATCAAAACACTATAACTATAACCATTCGGAGAACATCCAACTTCCTCCTCCATTTCTCTCCAAATCCTCTCCACCATCTCAGTCTCACCTTCTCTATAAAAACTCACCATCATCGAATTAAACGTGTGCGCATTCGGCTTAATCTCACCTCTCTTCTTCTTAGCTTCATCTACTCTAACATCATCTAAACCAAAAACTTCTCTATACATCTTATATCCATTAGAACTACCTCTACGCCTAGAAACCTCTGAAACCAAAGCATTACAAGTACTAATCTGTGGATTGATTCCTCTAGACCTCAATTTCCTCATCACCATCACAGCTCCATCAATCTCTTTTGAATCAAGACAAGATTTTATCAACAAATCGAACACAAACGGAGCAGAACCACATCGATTATAACTCTTAAGCAACGAACGAAACACTTTCAAGACTCTGTCTTCGTCTTCGGCGAGACGGAGAGCGAGACGTATGACGTCACTAGCGTGGCTTTTGAGACGAGATCGAGAGAGGATGTGGATGAGAGTTGAGCAGGAGTGTGTGTCGTGAGAGCAGAGAGAGTAACGGCGAGTGAAGAGGAAGAAACGGAGAGAGAGATGAGGATTGTTGCGGAGGCAGAGAGTGATTTCGGAGAATTGAGAGGGAGTGAATCCTGAAGGGTGGAGTGTTCGGAGAGTGGACCATCGGGATTTTGAGCGGTGGTGTGTTAGGATTGAGACGGCGTCGGAAATTAGAGGATCTGATGGTGGAGACGGCGGAGAAGAGACGGTGGTGAGGAGAGAGTTTGAGAGGATTGAATCGGGTTTGGGTTTCCGGGTCGGGTGGAGAATCCGTCTTAGTATTGAGGTTGACATTCTATAAGGTTTTTTACTTTTGAGTTGTGAACTCTCACAGTTTTATGCTCTCTTGTTCGGGGAAAAAAATTGGTTAAAAATCCGGTAAAACGGTTAATTTTTCCACAAACTTTAGTTGTTTCAGCTCGTTTATATACAAAACTTTGATTCGTTTTTACAACTATATATATGAATTTAACTAGTATTTTTGAATTAGATTATCATATACGATTTAAACAATTACATCTAGGATCTCCTACCATTAATAGATCGTTTGGAAATTCTAATTATGTTGGATATCTGTAATTGATGTTTGAAAATCTTAGAAATGACAAGATAATTCAAATACAAACTGATAATCATAAATTGGATAATGGATCAAAAAATCGTTAGAAGATACAATTCAATTCAATCATCCAATCTAAGATCTGTATGTAGTTAGATGACTAAAAATTCTTTTGTCTATGGTACATACAAATTCTTATTCACAAATTACACTATTTTTTATGACAAAAAAAAATTACACTATTTCGAATATCCAAAACAAACATATGAGTGTCTCTAAGGTTTTTAATATGTTGATTATATTTAGTTATTTCGGGTAATATTACTAAATAGCCAAATTTTAGAAAGAAATTAAAAACATAATTTAAATGGACAATGTTGGACATGGCCAAAATGGGTCTAGACCGCGTCCATTTGACAGTTCTACGTGTCAACTCTTCATTTGTTTCAAGGATTAGTATTTACTACTTAGTGAGACTAGTGGGAAATTAAGTTCATACAACTGTTATGTTAAGTGTTTGCAAGTCTGATAACCCTAAACCAAAGCCCAAACAATGTGTCAACTCTTCATTTGTTACAATATCTTAAATAAATTAAATGAAAGTATTATTATTAAATTCTGAAGAGACTCTGGATCGGTTGTTAAACGATAAGAGCATACACAGCGCTACACTCATGAGATTACTTGTTAAACATTTTTTAATTATTAAACTGTAGTGGAAGCGTCAGAAGAAAAAAGAGAGAGAGAAAAAGAGATAGAGAGAGATAGAGAGAAGAAATTTTTTTTCTTTTTTATAATGCCAACACTCGGGTGTTATCCTACATCCTGTGGATGTCGGATTCGCACACTTGAATATTTGTTTATTTAGTGGGAATGATTACTCTTGAGGACAAAAATATGATAAAAAGCTATGAATTGTTATGAGAATAACTATAGTGTATTTGCTAGAAAAATTGCGTATCCCATACATGGCTATTAGCCCTCTTACTTATACTCACAAATGACATTTAATCCCTAATTAAATACAATTATTCTCTCTTTAATGCATCCGTTTTGGTCTTTGATTTTAATGCTCAACGTTTGAATTTGAATTGACTCCGATCTTCATGGGCTTCGCCTTTTGGCCCAAATTACTTTGAACCATCTTGACTTTGATTCCGGGTCATATCCCGAAATGGGACCACTTCGAGCTCCTTTCGTGATGATGCCCACTTCGACTATATCTTGTACACCTTGGATTTAATGGGCTTTATTATTTACGGGCCTTCACCCTGACTACGTGGCGATCTTTGGTTGGTCCCGGTCTACTGGTGCGGGATCCGACACCAACAATTAGCCCCCCAAGTCCTTCGAAGTGCTTATTCCAGTTCGGAGGATTTTAATGCTTTAATGACCAAAGATTGCGCTTGAGGGATCTTCTGATTTTCCCGCCAAGATCTTGTCAGTCCTTTAATTTCGTCGTTTCCCATATTTGATCGCGTGACATCTGTCACCATCACGACCGTCTCTTAATTATTTACTATTAAAACGGGGAAAACCTTTCCACTTCCTCCACGTCTTCCGAGGCGGTTCCATCATTACCACTTAGCTTTGCGTGAGGTAACCTCTTTTTCACTCTCATCTTTTGATAAAAAATTTCTTTGCTTTTCTTGCTAAGTTTCTCTGTCTCCTTCGCCGAGTTTTCTTTTCCTTGAAACTTGAATTTTCCATTCTTCCCGATGACTTCTGATTCCGACAGACCCGAGTCTCCGTCTTACGACGAGAGACGTCCTAGCAACGACGAATGCACTCGTCCTAACGATATTGCTGGTCCGCATTATAGATCCACCTGTACTCTTCAATCCCTAGAAAGATTAAAGGGGCTTTGCCAGATTCCCCCTGGAATTATAGCAGAATCTCAAATAGCCGATCCTACGGAATCTCCGGAAAACCACCGCGACGGCTACTTCTGTGTTTACGAAATCTACTTCAAGGGCTGTGGATTGACCTTCCCTCTTCCCGAAGCCCTAGTTCGGTACCTGGCGGCCCTTGAGATCGCTTTGCCTCAGCTAACCCCCAATTTCCTCCGAACCATCCTTGGAATCATAACCGTTGCGGCGGAAGCTGGCTACATTATTGGGGTTCCCGAGCTGAATGAACTTCTAAGTGTGAGAAGTTCATCGAAGAAGGCGGGGTACTTTTCGGCGTACCCGAATGCTAATAGGAACATCATTTCGCATCTCCCGAACAAGGATGAAAGCTGGCACCATCCTTGGTTTCTGATTAAGAAAACTCCCGCTTCGGTTGGAAGTCTTTCCGATGTACTTCCATCGAAGTGGTCCGCAAAGCCTGGTAGAAAATAGGTCACAGACACTTTCCCAATCATCCTATTATTTCGCTAATCAAACTTGTTGTTTTGTTTTTGCAGCCTTCATTGCTCCAATTCTCCCAACTGAGGAATTCGTCAATTTCTTCAAGACAATCCTTAGAGGGGAAACCCTTTGGAATTCCTTTACTCTCGATCGGTTCATCGAAGCCAATCGAAAACTCAGGATGAGTCCGCCCAATCACCTTCATCGTCTACCGCCTCCTCCTTCAACTCAAGGATTGTCAGCTCGGGCCCTTGCTGCCCAGCGTAAGAAGCTCTCCAAGCCGATAGCAGAGGCTTGTGATGAAAACAAGGCACTCCTTGCGGCCGCCATTGACAAGAAGGACTACAGCAGGACTTTACTGGTTGACGACAACAGCACCGAGGGGACTAGATCTGTCATTGCTTATAGATTAACACCTCGTCGTGAGCGTCGTAATGATCGTTCTCCTCGGAGAGACCGATCTCCTCGTCGTGGCTCTCCTCGACCTCCCCGAGATGACTTCAGCAGCGCACCACTTAAGGATTTGATTCGTAAGAAAAGAGACAAGCCATCTCGCAGTGACTCTTCTCCGCATAGGGAGAAATCGAGGGCCCGGACTAACCGCTCACCTCGATCGTCCCCTCCATCTAAATCAATGGGTCCTCCTGCCCCTGTTGACATG